TTAGCTACAAGAATATGTAATGAAAAATAGGGGTTCCAATTTAAAAAAAACAAGTTGACCTTGAAATGACCTTGAAGGTCAACGTCAAGGTCAAATTCAAGGTCACCATCGGATAGCCAGGGAAAAATCCTAAAACTTTTGTATTTACCATTTTTCAAAAAAATTCAATCCAGACGAGTTATCCGAAGGTTTCCATACATTTGACTCACCCTGTATAAAGAACTTTTAATGCTGTTCTTACAATGAGCGGGTTTACACTAAACGTTCGCTCGACGACTTGTGGCGCCGCGCGCCGTGTGTGTTCCTAAATACATAGTTACAATACCCAACATCCCCCTCTTAAGTAATTACCATTCGGTATAGCTTTTGGCAGCTGGATCTAATTTTAACCGTCTTGGAGGGGCTCGATTACGAATGGGTCTAGCAGGGGTTGCTTCGGTTATAGCCGGACCTGGATCTTGATCAGCAGGACTTCGAATTCCGGGCGAGTTCGATGACAACTCGACAGTACTCAAGCTGGTTGAAAGTGATGGTTCGGAGAGTGCCGGATCGGTTGGAGATCCTGGCTGTGGGATCTGCGTTTCCAGAAGCGTCCAGTCGTCTCCTGCTTCCTGAGGTTGGATCGGAGGGTCGGAACCACCTTTCCAGATGTGGTTGATGTGTCGATCTACTATTTTGCCGTTGTCCAAGCGTACTGAATAACGGATTTTTGACAAGACACCATGGATGGTACCCTGTACTCGCTTGTCCTTCCCTTTTAGGACTACTACACGGTCTCCCACCGCTAAGCTTCGGGGACGAGCTCCGTGATGTTTCGAGAATTGCTTCTGCATCGCTTGTTGTTTGGATACAGTGGGAGTTGTCGCAGTAGGTCTGCTTGATTTCGGAGTCGGTAGCCATTTGGTAAACGGGGTGTTCATGCGACGTCCGAAAAAGAGTTCTGCTGGAGATTTTCCTTCAGGAGCCGCTGAGCATGGTGTGTAGCGATAACTGTAGAGAAAATCGAATAACTGTTGTTTCCAATTGCTGGGATTTTTAGCAATAGCTCTTTTTACAGTGTCCACCATTCTCTCGGCTTGACCGTTTGACTGTGGATGATTCACAGAGGTAAGAATATGCATCGTTTGCATATCTTTGCAAAAGCTTTTAAATAGTTCTGAAGTGAACTGTGTTCCATGGTCTGTTACGACTATATCCGGGGGTCCATTTCTAGCGAAGATTTCGTGACACAAATCGACGGTGCGTCTTGCAGAGATTGTGGGTGTAATTGCCACTTCTAAGAATTTTGAATAGGCGTCTACGAAGATCAGTAGATATTGTGCATCGATTGGACCTGCAAAGTCGAGGTGTACACGTTCCATAGGGCGTGATGGAACAGGCCAAGGTTCTAACGGAACCTTTACGGGTAGTTTTTGATTTAGTGCGCACGGTTCGCACTGACGTATGAGACGTTCTATGTCCTCTGACATTTTGGGCCAGAAAACATATTCACGTGCCAGCTGTTTGGTTCTTCGAATGCCGGGATGGCCCTTGTGGAGAGCTGCTAGGATCGTTGGCTGCAACTTTTTTGGAACGACAATCCTATCGCCCAGGAGTAAGGTGTCATCAACTATGGAGAGTTCTTCTGAACGTTTCCTGAAGTAATCTAAAGGACTTGGATTTTTTGTTGTCTTCCATCCTTCTTTAATGGCATTAAAAACTGAGCGAAGAAATGGATCTTCTTTAGAAGCTGTCTTCAACTTGTTGCGAAGCTCCTTGCCAAATATATCGATCGATGAATTTTTTAAATGGAGGAGTTCACTTTCTGTTTCTTTGATACTGGCAACTTGCAGTTCTTCAGCGTTGTCTCTTCGAAATTTGTCGATCAGACGGGATAAGGCATCTGCTTGACCGAAATCTTGCGTACGTATATATTCTATCTTGAAATCGTAGCCCAAGAGTCGCAATGCCCAGCGCTTGAGACGTGCTGCTGTGGTAGGTTTAAGACCTTTCGTGTTTTCTGTCTGCAACAGCGCTACAAGAGGTTTGTGGTCTGTTTGCAGGATAAATCTTCTTCCCCAAATAAATTTATGGAATCGTTCGACGGCGGTAACAAGTGCTAACGCTTCTTTTTCGAGTTGCGAGTAGTTTCGCTGAGCGTCTGTGAGGCTTTGTGACATGTGGTAGACAGCGCGTTCATAGCCTTGTGCATCCCGTTGCAATAGTACTCCGCCTACTCCAGTAGCACACGCGTCCGCTGCCACTACGAGTGTCTTCGAGGGGTCGTAATGCTCCAGTAAGAGAGGACTGAGCATAACCTCTTTTATTTTCTTCATTACTGAATTATGTTTTCGATTCCATGACCAATGATGGTTCTTGCGAGTGAGTTCTTCTAGGGGCTGTTTCATCTCGTGCAGATGAGGAATGAATTTACCGTAATGGTTGATCATACCTAGAAAACTCTGTACTTCTGATACAGATGTGGGGTTTGGCATGTTAGCTATAGCGGACGTAGTTTCAGGATCTGGAGATATACCGCGTGCGTTTACAATTAATCCCAGATATTTTATTTCTTCTGCTGCAAAGTGACATTTCACAGCTCTTAATTTCCAGCCGCAATCTTGTAGACGTTGAAGCGTTTTCTGTAGACGATCGTCGTGTTCCTCACGGGTGGAACCTGTTACGACAACATCATCCAAATATGCGTATACTTCTTCGAGGCCAGAAATTGTGACGTCCATAGCTTGTTGAAAAATAGCCGGTGCCGTCTTAATACCAAAAGGCAAGCGTTTGAATCTGTAGAGTCCCTTCGGCGTTGTGATGGTTGTGACTTCTCGATGATCTTCGTCGATCACTAGTTGAAAAAATGCGTCACTCAAATCTATTTGGCTAAAGAAACGATTTCCATTTAATTTTGAGAAAATACTTTCCATGATAGGCAAAGGATGCTTATTATCGACCAAAGCACGGTTGACTCCTGTAGAGTAATCTGCGCATAAACGAATCTTCCCATTGCGTTTTTTCACAATAACGATGGGTGATGTCCAAGATGACGCTTCTACTCGTTCAATGATGTCCAAAGATTCGAGACGTTTTAATTCTTCCTCGAGAAGAGTTTCCATGGCGAAAGCGATCTGTCTACACGAATTCTGGACTGGTTGAGCATTATCTGCTAAATTAAACTTTACCTTGAAGTTGTGACATGTACCCAATTCTTCGGCGAATAGACTCGGAAAACGCACAAGAGCGTCTTCGAGATAGGCATCATGTGGTGACGTAACATCCTTCTCCGTGGTACTTACGGTTAGCTTCGATAGCTTGGCGTGCTGTTTATTTGATGTTGAGCTGCCTGGATGCAACTTACTCAATGGTACGTTCCAGAAGTTGAGATTGTCAATTGCGTTAAGACCAAAAAGATTGATGTCATCTCGAGAAGCGACGTGTACATAGATTTTGCCTCTACGACCGAGTGCTGTAATTGTACTGTAAAATTTACCGATAATCTCTAATGCACTCCCGCCTGCGTGTTCGACTATATCGCTAGTGATAAGTTTAGGTGAACCGATGCGGAGCCATTCATTTTTACCGATAACCGTAATATCAGAGCCGGTATCGTATTGTAAATTTACCGATTTACCGATTAGAGATGCCGTAATATAATGACGTCTGCGCTTACCGACCGCGGAGAGCGCTTGTATAGCAACGTTTTTTATTTGAAGTTGTGTTTTAGAATCTTCTGTATTTGAGCGGCACATCTTCGCAATGTGGCCCTTCTTCGAACATTTATAACACTCCGCGTCGCGAAAAGTACATTTAGCGCGAGGATGGCTGCCGCCGCAACCATTGCACTTATTTTTTGTCGCCGGTTGAGACGAGGTTTTCGGCGAACTTTTATCCTTAGAAATTTTCTGTTTTTTTGGATTGTCTTTGGATTGAGTAATACTTAATACCGTAGTTTGCGGAGGTTTCGCAGGATTCTCTAATGTCTTCATGCCTGACGTGACATTCATGTAAGCTTCTAGCTCTGCGACGACATCCTTTAGTGAAGCATCTTGATTCTTCTCAATGACTCGAAGTGCAATCTTCTTTAGTTGATCGTTGTCACTCGAGTAACAGAACGATTGTAGCAATAACAGTGTTCGAAGACTGTCATCCGTTAACTTTGATCAGTCGAAATCGGCCGCGTGGCGATTGATACGATCGATGTGCTCAGAGATCGGTACCGCTTTGTCATACCGATAATTTAATATTTCAATACGTCGACGAGTAAGAGGCACTTTATCACGAAAGAGTTCCTTGAGCTTGGAAAGGAGATCTTCCAAAGATAATTGAGACGGAACCGTAGGTGCAACGTGATCCACCAATCTGTCAAATTCCGTTTGACCTAGCTTGTTTAAAACTAGGCGTGTTCGCATTTCAGCCGGTAAACAACCCGTTTCCGTGACGATGGTGTACTCGTAGCGAAGTAACCACTTCTCGAATGGCTTTATTTCGTCGCCCGAACCATAGCTATATTTCTCGACGCGAGCACTCAAATGGTTGAAAATTTCGATTTGAGATGGTGAGTGTGGACGGGCTAGATCTTCCTGTTTTTCTCCCTGGCGATTGAGTTGAAGCTGGAGAAGAGAATTAACGGCTGCCGTAAGAGTTTCGAGCTGACTCGTGCTATTAGCCATCGTTGTAGGTTAAGTTTTGGTCCGCAGCGCCAGTTGTTGTGTCCGTGATCTCTTAGCGGCAGGTATCGGGATAGCTTCGCTCTTAGTATCGTGACGATTGCTTAGCTCTCGCAGGATGAGAGGCACACAAATGATATACGCTTGTATCCGTATATAAAGAACTTTTAATGCTGTTCTTACAATGAGCGGGTTTACACTAAACGTTCGCTCGACGACTTGTGGCGCCGCGCGCCGTGTGTGTTCCTAAATACATAGTTACAATACCCAACAGTTTTATTTCAAGTTCTGTGCACGAAATTGTGATTATACGAAACCATCATTGTGAGTGTGACACATACGTTTAATTGTTAAACAAACTTAGCGATAAAATTGATAAACTTACGAATCTACAATGATCCACTTGTACTGTTAGTTTATGTTCTATTCGAGCAGTCGATCTTTTCTTTAAAATTCAACATTTAAAATCTATGTTTTACATCTAATTTTTTACCTTAATAGACTAACGTTTTATGATGAAAAAGTCTGTTAGGCTCTAAGTACGAATAAAGACACGAGTCCGTAACCGAATACGCACTTTATTACTCACTACTGTTCAACTGAATATACAGGTATTGTCATACGATATGATAAAGTGTATTAGAATGTATTATTATTTGTAACGAATTACATTTCATCTACATCACATTGTCTTCGCGCGTCATCAGGTTTTCTCCATTCAACATTATGTCGTGTGTCTGCAACAAGAAGAACAGTTCTTTACATTTTTACACTCCCAAGAAATTTGTCAAAATTTCGACAAATCAAGTTACTCGATTCCTTACCTGTTGTGTGTACTGTTGTGTGTTTTAGGTATGAAACATAAAGTATAAAATACATTAACGCAGCAAGTGCTCCGAGTCCTGAATACGTTCTGAATGTCATTCTACTACCAATCTTTTCGAATAAGAAACCAGCTAAGAAACTACCAATCATGTATCCTAAAAATAATGCGGCGTCGCATGTACCAAATCGTTAATCTTATTGAAAACATAGATACATTCGTATCACTTGCGTAAATTCTTTGTATTATAGTATAAAACAATTCTTGATGATATAAGAAAGATTACCGAGACCCTCCTTCATCCCAGCCGCAATCGCTTGAACGGTAGCCGATGTGCCGGGCGGTGATATTACGCTCGCGTACGTCACTATTGTTGCATAGAGAAGCGCAAACGCTGGTCCCTGCAAAGTACCTTCCACCAGAATTACATACCATGGCGTTGGCACTAAGGATAGTAATCCCATCCTCAGTGCGTAGGATAAAAAACAAATTGTAAGCGTATAACCGTAACCCAACTTTTTCAATATGTTGCCTGAAAAAATATAAACTCGTCGTTATAATGTTCCAAACGTAATATTTCCAGTTGCGCACAATTGTACTTTATGCGGTGAAACATGGGAGAAAATGCATTTATAACATTACCAGATATAAAGAAGAATATTACTTTACTGCCCAGAAAACCTGCACATATCGTCAGACCTTCTATTAATTTAATTTGACTCATATAACCAGTCTCCGTAGCGAGATCCTCCATATACCTGATGAAACAATTTTCTGAAATATTATTAATCTGACATTGCTGCGTTTTATTGTTTGCATAAAAATTTACCAAAATAAAAAGTTCATCATAAGACTCTCAAGAATGCCAACAATAACAGCGGTACATAGGAAGATAATAATTGGTATTAATTTCAAAATTGTATATACATCTTTTAATATGCTTGGCGATTTCACTAGTGGCAACTGCAATGAAAATACATAATATCAACGAAAAATGTACACTTAAAACTAGGGCTGTTACTTTTGATAACTTCGAAGGTTCGAAGCTTCGAAAGAATGTGAAGCTTCGAAGTTGACTTCGAACTTTCGAAATCTGCGAAGTTCGAATTTACCTTCGAAGTTTCGAAGCTTCGAAAAATTTAATCGTGCGAGTGGCGAATGTATTCAAATAACATTCGAAGCTTCGAAGATTTCGAAAGTTCGAATGACGAAGGATTCGAAGGAAATCACCAGTCCTACTTAAAACTACTATGCTATTTTTCCTTTTAATCGTGTAATATACCTTTAATTTTCTGCAGCAAATCAAGTCAATAACAATGAATACGAGCATAAAAAGAAACGCTGGTGTATAAGTTTTGTAAATTTTTCCTTGTGACCACAAGTCTATTGTATAACCCGATACAAGTGACATAAAAGAATAA